ATATGTATATGTACACAACATTAGTGAGACATTTAGTAAAGAAACTAATATTTAAACATATAAACTTTTAAAAAAAAACGAATCATAGAAATCCTAAGGATAAAAAAAAACAACAAAAATTTAGTAAGAAAATCATTTTCTAAATCAAACATATGAATATCAAAGTTGGATAATTCGTTAGGTGTCATTACTATGATTTTACTTAATAAGATTTATAATTTTATAAAAAAATAGGAAATACTACATGTTTTAATATTTTATATAAAATAAAATTTCTACAAATATATTATAGTCTTGATAATTTAAAAGATATTAACCAAAAAATCAGACCAAATTATTAATACAGACTTGCACGTAGCACGAGTTAAAAGCCTAATAAATAGAAAGGCTTAAATAATAAATAGAAAAAAATATTATGTTAAAAAACCAGAACAAATAGTATCCTTAGAAATAAAATGGAAATTTCTAACTTCTAATATAAATTAACAAAAAAACCAGTATCATAAAACCTCAAACTTATAATATAGGAAAATTCTAACTTCTAATATAATTGACAAGAAAAAAATTTAATTTCGTTTTATAGAAGAAAAATAAATAAAAAGTTTAAGTAACAAATAGAAAATAAAATTATATTAAAAAACCAAAATATAGTACCCTTAAAATTAAATAGAAATTTAATGTAAAATAGTCAAACTAACCAAAAAAGCAATATTGTAGTATTTAAAACTTATAGCATAGATTAGAAAAATTTATAACTTACAATGCATTGCACATATACAAATATATATAATAATAAGGTCATATACTGTCTAGATGCTATTAGAGAACTGATCATCATCAACGACGAGAACATTCTTTGTCTAGTTAAGCTAATGATATCACCAATGGTAGAAGTCATAATAAAATAAATGTTCACTCGCAATCAAAAAGATAAGCATGTTTTCCCAACAACTCATTTATATCTTCTAATCTGGAATATAATCTATGTTTACTTACCACCTTTTTACATTTTTTAAACAGTGGGCAAATTGTTCGTGTTACTCTTTCCGCCAATTTTCAAAGAAAAATAATGAAAAGTATTGTCAAACCTATCGTGTTCCTGTCCACAATTATAAACCCAAAAATATTTCAAGTTTTGTAATCTCAAACATATAATTACCATTATTTTACTATTATTTATGAAAATATGATGAATCCTAAAATAAATTAAATAATAAGATTTATTTAACTCTTAACACCATACTTTAAATTACACCATGTAGAAGTATTATTTTTTAACTTCACTTTTTCCACCCAGTTTTTTTTCAAACAAAGATATTGAAGAAACTACTGACTATACTGATTATTTGACATGGTAAGTACGCTTACATGCATATACCTCACTATACTTTATTTTTCTATTGTGTTTTAGATTTGAAACCAAACTGTTTAAAAGCTATTATTATATGATGAGAAAATAAACATGTTTTTATTAAAAGCTTTTTTAGCTTTCAATATGTTATAAAATTATGTTTCAAAATAAAATAGGAATAATTATCGAAAGAGGCAAATTAACAAAAAAAAAACGTCGTATAAAAGAAAACTAATTTGGGATCTGATTTAACAAAGAAAAAGCATTTGTATAAAAGAAATTAATGTGATTTCTATGATACCTATTTGGAAAATCAACAACAAAAGAGCTTAATAAAAGCATATAAGTCCTAATTATATCAAAATACAAAAGTATATAAATTAAAATAAATAAAAAATTACTATCAAAAGATGTAAATTATCAAAGAAAAAAATTAAAACAAAATTAATTTAAAATTAGTTTCAAAAAGTTCATGATTTCTAAAGTATTAGTATCAACAATGAAGAACTATCTAAAGTTGCAATAGGTTTACATGAGTTTCTAAACCAAACATATGTTTCTGATTTAAAAACTAACAAAGAATAACACCATATAAATAACTTTACACTCGATATTTAACAAGTAGTAAAATCTGATTTCTATACATAGCCACTACTTATATTTGAACCAACATCAATAACACATTCTAAATTCTATTTAAATAATAAAATATGACATAATTATGAATCAAACTCAAATTAGTATATGTAGATAAAATATTCAAAACAAAGCATGCATATTGCACACAAAAGATAAAAAAACAGTAAAAAATAATGCAAAGACTCCACACCACCGATCCCACAAGGCCACAAGTTAGAAAATTAAAATTATCAAAATATTATACTGTAAAAAAATAAATATCTATGAAAACTGAATAAAAATATAAGCTAAAACTCTTAGAAGACATGGTGGAGAAGGAAGAAACGGTTTTGCATGATCATTGCAGTTTCCTAACAAAATTAAATGTGAATCAACATAAATCATAGATTATATATGCAGTGGTACACAACATCAATAAGACTTTCAATAAAAAAAATTAAATATTTGAATACATAAACCTTTTAAAAAAAAAAGTATAGAAATTCTATGAAAAACAGAAAAAAATACCAAAATCTTAGCAAAAAAATCTTTCTCTATATCAAATGTATATGTACGTCAAAGTTAGGTAATTCGATAGGTGTCATTGTTATTATTCTACCTAATAATTATTAATATTTTATAAATGAAAATGGGAGAAAATTATACATTGTTTATTAAATTCTCTTATATAAATTAAAATTTCTATAAATATATTAAAATTTTAATAATTCAAAAGATAATAACTAAAAAATATTAAATCAAACTATTAATACAGACTCGCGCATAATGTGAGTTATATACCTAGTATATGAAACACGAAGCATTAACTTATGTGTCATTATCTCTTTTTCTAATATTTTTTATTGATTTATTTTTGTGTGCTATCTTTATTACCAAACACTTTATTTTAAATCACTTAAATTAAATCAAATTTAAATCAAACCAATCACAAATAATTCGATAATTTCATTGGTTTAGTAAATTAAATTAGTTACCTGTTTTATTATGGAAATAAAAATTATTTTTATGTTTTAGATTTATGAATATTTCTTGTTTTGCAACAGCTTTGATTCACATATTATACAAACGGAAAATGAATATTATTTTTCGAAACCTTGGACGAAAGTAAATGTAAATCTTGCTTTGTATAAGTTTAAATTAAAAGCGGAAATAACTAAATTTTCTCAAATCTCGACTGAGCATTTTTAGATACCCAAATATTTTTTAAAACTTAATAAATAATAGAATATCTCTTAAATATTTTTACAAACATTACCCCGCACAAACATGCGGATAGTAACCTAGTCTTTTATAATTTCCGATCCTAAATTTGATTTTTTAGATTTCAAAATGATATCAATAATTTTGATTCTGTTTTGATTTAAGTATTTGGTTTAGTTCGGTTCAATTTTTTCCATCTGGACCACCCCTATCTGCTGCAACGCTGGAGAATGCAGTGGTAAATATCAGTTAAGATTGTGGAAGCGCCCTTAGCCCAATGGTTTAATAAAAGTTTATTAATGCTTTTACATCAAGAGGTCTGTGTTTCAAATCCCAGTAAGTGCGATTTATTCTTAATTATGCAGATTAATAAAGAATGATGCAAATTAATGGAGGCAAACTTACAAGAGATCTTCAGCGTGGTGCAAGCACAATCGCCAGACGTAGATTTTCACATGATGATGGTAAGCATGATGCAAGGTGCAAGTAGAACCGTTAGTCGTAGATCTTCATAAATCGGTAGAATTGACCGTTGTAGAATCGTCGATATAATAGTTTTCATAATTTGCAATTAATTAATAAATCAATATTAAAAAAAATATCAGTTAGGATTATGCTGATGTCTTATTGGTCCACGTTGGTATTTTTCATCCACCAAAATAGCAATGAAATTAAAGAACAGAATTTTATCGTCAACTTAACCATGGTTAACATTTCTATAACCCTGATTAGCCTAATCTTAGGGTTTAGAATCATATATATAAATGATCAATCTATGAACCCTACTTCGCAGTCCCCAATTAGTTTTTACCCTGGAACCAGAAAACTAATACTTTATTCTCGTTGCCTATTATAAAATCTCTTTGGCGTTTTTTTTTTATTCATTTCCGTTTTCGGTTTTATTTCCTGCTAATGACTTTTTTAATCGTAATTGCTTCTTGTGTTAATCCATTTTTATATGTTTAATTATTTTTTTGCAAATGATGAGTAATTCCCAATTGATTAAGAAGCTCAAATTTCTTGAGCGGTGTTTGGAATCATAAACTTCCATGACTCTGATGTATTTGATAGATAAAATCTCAGATTCCTGATTGATCTTTTCTGCTTTTCTAAGATTTTTGTAAATCATCTTTTAATTTATAATGAACCAGAAAACTTCCATGATTTCTGTATTCAAATCTTATTTTATTTTTTCTTTTCACTTTAAGTCGAATGCATTTCAGATCTGTCTTTTTTTTGTTAACCATAGCATCTACTCGCGAATTTTGGTTTTCAGAAATGTAGTTGTTTGAAAATGTTAAAAAAGATCACTAGTTTAAAAAATTAATCACATTTGTAATAGTGTGTTTATTTTGCATAACTATGCAATTCCAGAAAGAATGTTTAATCTTTAACATTTTGTGTTCTTTAGATTTAATAATTTAAAAATGGGGCATATTAAGTTATTAACATTCCATTTTGATATTCAACTTCTCTATAAAAGACTCTACTGGATTTAACAATAAGCACTGTTTGTTAAGAATGTAATAAGTCAACTGTATTACATCCTGTTAATTAATTGTTAATTAGTATGAACAAAATGAAATATAGCAAACGAACTTTTTACACTCATAAGCTATGGAAACGAAATAATTCTCATAACTGGTTCATCACTGGACAAAAGATGCAGAAGATGATTCATCACTGGTTCTGGTGCCAAGATAGATCGATTTTCTACAAGCCGTAAAAAATCTTGTTTTCATTACAATTCTCATAATTAAACAATAAACAAAACCAACTTTGGATTGTCTTCTGTTCAAAAGAATCCATGTTACGATCCATTGTTATCGTTGTCCCCATCGAAATACTCATCGTCCCTTTGAATCTGCTTATCCCGCGAACGCTCTGTAACAAATCAAACAGCTTCAATTCAATTGCTAAGAAAACGAAGAAGTACTTTGGATTATAGTAGATTTTCAGGATACTTACGGTCCACACGTTCATCTGGGTTTTGTTCGTCTTCATCAAAATCCGGTATGTAGAAATCTGGAGGAACCTGTGAAATAACACACAAAGATTTGATTACAACATGAGCTTTAGCTGTTGTTCGGTGATGATCCGAGTTTTACCTCCTGCATCTGCACGCTTGGTGCGTGTTGAATGTACCGCAAATTCTCCAAAATCTGCACTTTGATGGAACTGATATACGATTTGGTATTTAGATTCTCCTGTCAATTCAAAAAACACAAAATGATTCTCAAGAAAGTCTAATAAAGAAACTTAACATACTGTAAAAGGTTCTCTAAGTGTAACACAAGAGAGCTATCTTACAATGTGACCACCAGGGATCTTCAATGAATAATCCGGCGCAAAGTACTTGATGTAATCGTTTTCAGGAATCTCTGCGAAAACAACGAAACCGTGAGGAGCTCCAAAAACATTATAAAACATTGTCTCTAACAAAAGATTTAAACTTTACTAAACCATTAGGAAGCTCTGTGTCCAGAAGAATGCCAGTCTCAACAGTCCAACACCGAGCTACATTCTCCTTTGTGTATCCTCCACCTCCAGTAACCTAACACACAATCGAAACGTCATAGAGGAACTTAAGATTACATAAAGGTGTAAGTCAAGAGACAGAGATAGGTACCAGCAAGGGAATATTGAATTTCTTCACAAACTTAACACATTCAGCATGTCCTGCATAAGAGAAAACCCGTTTTCAGAACCCGAATCTGCTTAGAAACTACGCGAAAAGAGAGAGATCAAGATAGAGAAAGAGAGATTTTTTATTACAAGAAGAAAAAGCACCATCAATAGAGAGATTAAAGCATCCTAGTCGATCTCTTGCTAGTGAATCTGCTCCACATTGAAGAACAATTGCTCCAGGCTGATATATCTCAACAACCTTGGAAATGATCTAAGAGAAAGAAAGGGCATAATCAGAAACAAAACAAAATGTCCAAAGCATTTGAGAATTTTGAGTGTTTCGGTTAAAGAACTTACTGTTCTGAACAGACGGTTGAAACTACTGTCATCAATACCATCCTTCAACGGCACATTAATGGCGTAAAACTTCCCTTCTCTTTCTCCTAAATCCTTTTTTAAAAGAAACCACATCACAGTGAGTCAAAATTCATCCAAAAACACATCAAAACATTCCTCACACAATCAAGAAAGTGAGTGCTTGAATGTTATACCTTAACATCACCGGTCCCTGGAAAAAACTTATCCCCAAACTTATGAAAGCTAACAGTCATAACTCTGCGGTAACAAAACCTCGAGGAAATTAGTTTCAGTTTCCAAACAAACAACTTTCAAGAAGTCGAATGTGAAACTACGTGTGTACCTGTCAGTAAAGTAAAAAGCTTCTTCAACTCCATCACCATGATGAACATCTATATCTATGTATAGCACACGGGGATGGTGTTTCAACAACTCAAGGATTCCTAGTACGAGATCGTTGATGTAACAAAAACCCGATGCATCACATTTTTTGGCGTGGTGTAAACCACCAGCCCAATTTATCGCAATGTCACAGAGTTTGTTGTTTAATCTCCGTGCAGCATCTATAGAACAAAGATTTTGGTCAGTTAACAAAACTCTTAAGTGACAATGCAGTGTGTATTACGATTTACCTATGGTTCCACCGGCGTAAATTTGACAAAACTCAAACATATCATCAAAGACAGGACAGTCCTCTCCAAGATTATCTGCATCAAAGTAGTTTCATTTAAAGCTAAATATATAAACTTGCATAAACCAAATTAATGAAGACACAAAAACTTACATCTAGCCATTTCACTGGGGAATAAGTTCTGATTTTCGGGGTTAATTCGTTGGAGGAACTCGACATAGTCGGGAGAATGGAACTGAGCCATCTCGATAGGGTATGCCTTGTGCGGACGCTGAGACAATAGACAACATATAAAGAAGAATATAAACGACATGTATAGTGAGATCAAGAACAAGAAACATGAAAGATGAGCAAGAAACACTGACATAAACTTCCATCTTGCTATGAAGGCCATATGCAAGGATAAGATGATGGGTCATACATAGCCTGTGAGGTTTCATTGGGTGATTTGGACCAAAATAGACGCTCCCCACATCACCTGCAACATAAAAACAACACATTAGAAGAGAACTAAACTTCCATCTATATTCGAGTCATTTAGAACATCTCGAATTATGAAGAGGGAAGTTATATATATCAAGTCTTGTAACAATTTATCCGTAAGGAAGCTCAAAAGAACACCAATTTCAAACACTAATACATCCAAAGTAGACAAAAAGTGTCGATCAGAAACAATCAAAAGAGTAATTTCACAGATACTTTATGAAGCCTCTGGTCTGAGCTCAAACAAGAACCTTCACCTAAAACCCCTCTTCTTTTCATCGAAAAACCCTAACCGAAAACTAAAAATTAAGCTGACTATTTCCGAACGAATTGTCACCTTTTAGCTAATTCTAGAACTTCGATGTGAAAAGATTCAACCTTTCGAATGCATCTATAGTGCAATACAGACGCCAAGTGCGGTTCGGGATAAAATTGTTTAAGATTGTGATACTTCGATGAACAAAAAGACATCAAATCTTAAGGTTTCTGTAGCGTTTCATAGTGAAAAGAGAGGATATCTAAAAGAAAGTAAAAACGGGAGAGATGAATATACCGTCATAAAAGTAGGAGATTTTGTCCTTGGAGCGCATCTCTTATGCAAGAAAAAAGGAAGAAGACACGAAATCAATCTATCAGAACGATTAGACAGATAAATCTCAGGGCTGCTTAGCTTTCAGTAGATATGTGACGATTTCCCAATTGTTGAACTCGCAGAGATTTCACCGAGGGCAGAGAAGAGAGGAGACGGATAGAGAAGAGAGAGCGCCCAGAGTCAAAAACGGTGACGTTTTAGGTTGTAATGACATGGCAGATGACGTCATTTAAATGTATGATAAACCGGTTGACTGATCGGTTCTATATAATCAGACTGTTAAACCATCTCTATCAGAGTTTAGAACCTCGTTTGAAATTCTCAACAAAATAATAATCCGTTCTTCTTTGTACTGAACGAATTTGTGATAATTTAAATATTTTCAAATTATTTATTGCTAAATATTTGTTGATAAATATTAATTTTTTAATTTATGATTGTCATGTAGTTTAAAATTTTATATTGACAAATTAGTAGAATAATAATATGTGAATGAGATTTTTTTATTCAACATAAGTATATATTTAAATTATTTATCTTTGATAATAAAAAATGTTATTTGTAGTATAACTAAATAGAAATATATTTTTGGTGAAATTTGTGATTGCAAAATAAATATTGATATTTTTTTGGTCATTGTAGATTATCAAAACATATAACATAATTGTCATATTTTTCTTGTATAGTTTGTATATGTATTCCCTCTAAGTCTTTAATTACAAAATCAACATCTAGAATAAATGTTAGGATAAAGTTGATTAAACTCTCGGTTAATATACTAGATATTGTGACATTCATATCATGATAAGTGAGGTGGAAGTTAATCACATATTTAAAGATATAATTATTTGCTTGTAGTATTTTATCGGTGCTAAAAAATTTTTGCTAGTTGATGATCTGTTATTACGAAGTGGATGTGTAATTTTGAGAAGAAGTTTGTTTCCAGCTGGTTGAGTTAGACAAAATCTATGATAATGTAATGCACAATTTTATAGTTTATATTTAATTATCATTATTATTTTTGTTTAATATATAATTATGAAGAACAAATATCAATTTTAACGTGTTTATGCTTTTTTCTTTAAATACAGGTGATACATGTAAGTGCCACGTGATATCATTTCGAAGTTGTTAAGAAACAAAACTCTTACTTTATAAAATAGATTGATTTTTTTGTGTTAGTAAATGTGAATTGTGTTTCTAGATTACTAAATCGTTCTTGCTATTTACAAATTGTTATAAAATTTATATTGCAATTTTTGTTTTTGTGTGGATTATATTTAATTATCTGTATTCTTTTTTTTAGTGTAGTTAAATTTAATATATTCTTTTTGTTAACCAGTTTTGTTTTAAATATATATATATATATAGTGAAGTAAGAGACATAATGAAAGAGGATAATATTGAGAAGAAAAAAAAAAGTGGCACATGATACTATAATATATAACATTTATTTGAGTGATTTGATTTTTGTTTTTGTTTATTGGATGAAAGAAAATCGTTTGGAGAAAGGAAGAAAAAACATTGAAGCTTTGTTTTGTGTTTGTTTGGTGAAAGATAATTTAATAGAAATAGTTATAGAAAAAGTAACACATATTAGTTCTGATATGCTGGCATATATTGGCTTTCACATTGCAAATATTTTCCCTTCCATCATTTAAAAATACCCTTCTATACCTGAGACCCTCTCTGGCATCTTCTCGGTTTACCAGAATTTCTGATTTGTTGACATTGGGATGAATAATGTAGTGATGAGCCTTATCATCTCGTTCGTTTACCACACTTGATTTCAACTCTGCAAGAGAATAATGTTCCTTCATGGAGTCATAGTGGTCACTCAACCTTTCTTTCATGCAAAACTCAAGATAAGTATTGTCTGCATTAACATCAACTAGATGTGAACCACATACATATCATTCCAATACATGTCCTCTCGGCTGCATAACACTGGGAAACTCTCTCACTGCTACATTAGTGCCTAAATGATAATTTTTGCAATATTCATCTTTACCAAACTTGCTCACAACTAATAAATCATGGTCTCCATGGCTAAAACCACATGAATAACTAAGATCACGAAAAAGTTTCTCTTGGTGATCTCTTGGTGAGTTTCTAACAACATAGTCATCATCAAGATGCCTAGTTTGTAAAACCTGGTATGCACAGCGATGAAGCTCCCATATGTAAAAAAATATTGTATTTCGCAAATTCTACTAAAATAGAGAGCAAAATTTGAATGGAGGACACAACATTATGTCGTCCATAAAAAGTAATATCTCTCGTCCACAAAGCAGACTAAAAAGTAATATCTCTTGTCATTGGTTTTCTTGGTTGTGAAGCAATAATATTTCATCGATTTTGATGTCCTCAAACTCCTTGCAACTATCTTTGTCAGTATTGGTTTTTGGTGCCTTCCCATCACCAACTTGGAGTATCCACTTTGTAAAAAAAATTTCATCCAATTGCAATCGCATATTCTGAGTTAGACTATAGAAATTCCCTGAACCCCAAAGATATGATCGGTTTATGGTTGCTAAAATGGTGTCTTGTCTGCTTCCTCCCGGAATAACTGGTAGTATTTGCCTGAAATCACCACCTAACAATACTGTCTTACCACTAAAAGGCTTTCTAATGCAGTTGGATCATCATGAGACAAAAGATCTTTTATTGTCCTGTCCACTACCTCAAATGCTAAACGATGAGTCATAGGTGCTTCATCCCAAATTATCAAGTCTGTTCTCTTTATCAACTCAGCAAGCATGGATCCTGGTTTGATATCACACATTGAATGCTCCTGTATTTTATTGGTATTTTGAATCTTGAATGAGCTGTTCGACCCCCTAGAAGAAGCAGTGCTGCAATGACCGATGGTGCAACAGGAATAACAATATTTTTCAGTGATCGTAACTTTGTTATAATTGATTGGTACAAATATGTCTTCCCAGTGCCTCCGGCTCCGTTTAAGAAGAAGAATTTACCTTTTCCATAGTCAAGAGAGTTCATCACATCATAGAAGACCAATATTAGTTCATTGATGCAAGAGTTTTGACCTCTTATGTCAATCACCCATTGTACTAATCAGTTGTAGTATTTGAGTTTTATTGTCAATCCAAGGGGTTGAGTTTGAAAGACAGAAGAGTTGCAAGTAGAAAGCTCTAAGTCTGGTGAAACAGAGAAGATTGTGTTGCAAAGCAACCAAACTAACAACTTAAAATGATCAAACACCAACAGAACTCAAAGAGAACACTTAGCAATGATCATATAAAGCAAGAACAGAGCAAATAAACAGAGTAATTGGCAATTTCGAAATTTAAATAAAGAGAAGACAAGTTCCTAGATGTGATTATTGACTTTGGAGAATTCAAAGGTCAACTAAGGTTGTTACAAACATCACTGATCAATCAAACAAGCTAGCAATGCTGATTCCTAGATATAGAGTTCACAAACAAGCAAGGAAGCTAAGTTCAATTTCTTGACAAATAGCACTTTGCTAAACATCCTAACAAGAACTAATTCAACAAGCATGATAAACTAACTCTATTCATGTCAAAATACTCCTCAAACAGTCAATCTCTTGAGCTAAGGCCAGTAAATCCTCTATTAACCAAGATCAGCATTTCATCAAACACTTGGTGGGCATAAAATGTAGTCTAATTCTAGATTCATGAGATCAAGACAAATCTAGCTTAAGACCAGATTAATAGAGAGGAATCAATGTTATTAAGCACTAACAAACCTTAGATAAGCTTCTAAATTCTCCTAATTTACCACATCTAGAAACCCTAAGGTAACTACTCACTCATCATCATGTTAAACATCAAATCACAAAGAGAAGATATGCTAATCATGATTAAGAGAAAGATTAAGACAAGATTAAAGGTAAATATAAACTTAGATTAAGCAAAGATAAAACTTGTCTTACAAAAACAGAAAATTAACCAAGAACAGTAAACTGGAAAGAGACTTAGTCTAAAAATTCTCAGAACATGGTATTTATACTAAGAGACAAATGCCCTAACATAATGGTAAAATGGTAAATAGAAGCATGTTCGGACTGGATCCCATCGGTCATATCCTGACCGATGGTCCTGAGGTGAGTGACCGTTGGTATGCTTGCTGGTTTTCCATCGGTCACTCCCTGACCGATGGTCCTGAGGTGAGTAACCGGTGGTATACTCGCTGCATTACCATCGGCCACTCCTTGATTGATGGCCTTCAAATCTTGATCGATGGGTTTC